TTTAAAATGAACAAAACAAAAAAAATGTCCTGTTTAAAATAAATAAAACAATGAACAGAAACAAAATAACTTCTCTTCAACACTTGCTTCAACAGTTTCTTTATATGAGAGTCATTAACAAACAGAAATCAGATAAGTCTGATCAAGAAACAATAGCCACTGATCAGCTGATTAAAACTAGTACTCCATTTCTTATATATAGTGATGTATATTTATAATGGAATGACATTGTGCTATTCAATCAATTAAACTTTAATTAAAACACTTATTACACACTTTTACTTTATCCAAGTATCTTCTTAATTGTTTTGTTTGTTTTATTTATCTTATTGTCTGTTTATAGCACTTTTTTGCACAAGACAAATTTCCTCTCCGGAACAATAAGTTTATCCTATCTTTATTCAAAAAATAGACCTCATTACTGTAAGTTTTAGTAAATAGTACTACTTTGTATAAGGGTTAAAATAATATTGTCAACAGGTACATAATTTAGCACTAAATGAAAACACTGAAACTTTAATCAATCGCTTTATATAAGGCTAAACGCTTTAAAACAAACCTTTCTCCAGTTGAATCACAGCGCGAGAGCGGCGCAGGCTTATGACGTCACAAGTCAAGCCAAAATAAAAGTCTTTTTTTTGCCACTTACTCTAAGTCATGAGTCATGACTTTTTATATATAGTTTTTCTCTGCGTTTGGACACTTTATCCTGTTAAAAATTAACAAAGCAATAAAAAATGTCCTGTTTAAAATAAATTAAACTATGAACAGAAACAAAATAACTTCTCTTCAACAGTTTCTTTATATGAAAGTAATTAACAAAAAGAAATCCGGTAAGTCCGAGCAAGAAACAACAGCCACAAATGAGCTGATTAAAACTAGTACTCCATTTCTTATATATAGTGATGTATACTTAGAATGAAGTGAAATTTTGCTATTTAATAAATTAAACCTTAAGACACTTAATACACGCACGTTGTTCAATAGTTCACTTTATTTTGAGTAAAATAGTATTACGTTGTATAAAAGTTAATATTTTAAACAGCAGGTACATCATTTAGTATTGGATGAAAAACCTGAAACTTTAATCAATCCGTTGAATAACTTTTTTTCAATTAATGCTTGAACTGACAATATAAGAACATCATAACAAAGTCAGACAAATCTTTAAAAAGGTCAATAATATACATAGTCATAAGAAAAAAATATCTAAAATCACATACAAATACAAATAATATCATTAGACAGAAAGGGAAAATATTAATAGAATTAAAACATTAACAACAATAATAATAATAAAATTACTAAATTAAACAAACAAAATTAAATGAATGAAATTACAATGACACCTAAACAAATAACCGTAAGGAAAGCATCTAAAATCGAGAATCTTCTTTAAATACATCTGCATAATATTACAGGAATCTTAGATTCTTTTTATTCCTAATAAGATAAAGTGATTTTAGGAGGGAAATAAATTCTATTCTAAAATAAACAAAGAATGGGTAATTATTTGTGAATTTCTGTTAGTGAATGAAAATATAAGATAATGCCATATAAGATAAAAAAAATGTATTATGCGTTCCAGATATTTAGCTTTTGGGTTATTATATAAAAAAAAATTATGTTATTTTAGATTGAAGCAATTCACAGCATTGGCAAAAGCAGATATGTGAGAATTTAGAAGTGACCGAAATTGCTTGGATATTGGACAATCAAAAAACATATGTAGTAGTGCAGGGGTGGCCAACCCTGTTCCTGGAGAGCCACCTTCCTGCAGATTTAAGTTGCAACTCATATCAAACACACCTGCCTGTAATTATCACGTGGTGTTCAGGTCCTAATTAATTGGTTCAGGTGTGTTTGATATTGGTAGCAACTGAAATCTGCAGGAAGGTGGCTCTCCAGGAGCAGGGTTGGCCACCACTGTAGTAGTGTCTCCTCTGCTTGTTTGCAGAAAGAACAGGAGCTGTCGATGTCCGAAAAACTGTAAATACTAAATTTTACAGGGTAGATTTTATGGAAAATTTTAAAATGCATTTCTTTTGCCTTGTTGGAAAATACAATATTTCCCAGGTAAAAGCCAGTTTCTATTCCAGTCTATATCCTTAACCAAAGACCTCCAGTAAAACTTTCCTCTAGACGAAATTTTCCTTTTACATTGGAAAATTTGACGCACAAAGCTATTGTTACGTTTCAGACTAACACTTTCAAAAAGCAAATTTACAGTTAAATGTACAGTGACTTTTAACTAGGTGAACTAAACCGGGTGATATTGCCTAACAACTTTATTAAATTCATTAGGAGAAGTTGGAAAACAGTGGTAGGTTATAAATGGTTCACGAAAGAATCTTTATTGCATCATCAAACAAGCAAAGGATCCAATTAATGTTATTTTTAAACCAACTTTGGAAAAATAATGATTTGTTATTGATTGTAATATCTCGGTTATTCCATAAGAAAAATCGGTGGGGAGAAAAATTGTGAACATAACCAAGCTTCCAAGCAAGCAGACATTGCTGGTGGAAATTAGACAAAGCTAAAGATAGCTTGTAGGGAAGATAATTAAATTTAAGAAGAAACAAAAGACTACAGATTTTGTTTTTTAAAAAAGTAGTTGGGAATAAAAAACAAAAAAAAACAAATAGACGTTGGATTGGTTTGGCATCTCTTTATCCAATTAATTTTAAAAATGTATATGGTGTCAGAAAAATCTAATAAATTTACACTCCCTCTGCTTTACTATAAGAAAGAACTACCTTTTTTAATTTAAGAGGTTTGTTCTTCCAGATAAATTTCAAGAAAACAGTATTAATTTCTTTGGCCACTTTGTTTTCAACAAATAAAGATAAAGTCGGATATACAAAATGAGAAAGACCCTCTGCCTTGAACTCTTCCATATAATGACAGGTCCCATTGTAGCCAGGAATTAAGAATATTTTTAGTTTTGCTGATCCTAGACAAAAAAAATTCAAGTGCTGTCTCACTAAAAGATTTTTAATAACATAAATAAATAACCATTTAATTGTGGATTTAACAAGGATATCTTCTATATATTCCTAACTCAAATTATGAACAGGCATTATCTCACATTTGAAGATATTCAGCTTTAGACCAGAAACACTTGAGATATCAGAAATTAAATTTAAAGCCTTTCATACGTTTGAGTCATCTTTTAGAAATAAAGTGGTGTCATCTGCCAATTGTGAAATCTTAATCTCCCTTTCAAAAACAGAAATTTCTTTCAAATCTTGATTTTGCACAATGCTTAAGGACTAATAAAAACTAATAAAAATGAAAAGGAAGAGATTGGACAGTCCTGTCTAAAACCACACAAAATATCAAATCCATTAGAAGTATTAAAATTAACAATCACTTAACTATTGATTCCTTTATAAAACATAGCCATAGTGTTAACAAAAGTTTCCCCAAATCCAAATAACCTCAATGCTTTAAACAGAAACTGGTGCTCAACCGTATCAAAGGCTTTATAAAAATCAAGAAAAAGAATGAGACCATCTGAATGAATAGAATCAGCATAATCGAGCAAATCCAAAACTAATGTTATGTTATTAGAAACATGGCGGCCTTTTATAAACCCAGACTGAGTTTCAGAAATAATAGAATCAATCAGTATGGCAATTATACTGGGATAACAATGAAACAGGCAGACATCTATATAATATACATAAACAAGTCGTTGCTGGAAGGAGGGAGAACAGAATCATAGGGAAGTACGATTATAACTCAGATGAGAATAGGTCATACTGGACTCAACCATATTTTATTTAAAATAGGGAAACACTTAACTGGGCAATGTATACACTGTAATCAACAAGAAACAATATGACATGTTTTATTCCACTGTAGTAAATATAATAAAGAACGATACGATCTTATTCAATCTGTTAAAATGAGCAAACTTCAGGGTTTCACATTGGCAGGTTTATTAGGGAATAAATCTATTGAGGTATATGACGATATAATTAAATTTGTTTAAGAAACCCATTTAGAGAAAAGAATATAGAGATAATATAATCTAAGCAATTAATTGTTAGCCCACTCCACCCCACATTTTTTATTTATTCATTTATTTTATTTTTTATTTCCTCCCCCTCCCCTCTATTTTTACACTTCAGTTATTGTTCAACCATTCCAGTCGGAGGCGGTAATGCACCTACAAGTCTGGTAGCCAACCGCCAGTAAAACCCAAAGAAAAATAAGAAGAAACCGATTAATTAAAGTTTTAGGTTTTTCATCTGATACTAAACTATGAACCTGCTGTTGACAATATTATTTTAACCCTTTATACAACAAAGTACTATTTTACTCACAGTAATGAGGACTATTGAACAACGTGTGTGTAATAAGTGTCTTACTGAAGCTTTAATTTATTAAACAGTATAATTTCATTTCATTCTAAGTTTACATCACTATATATAAGAAATGGAGTACTAGTTTTAATCAGCTAATTTGTGGCTATAGTTTCTTGCTCAGACTTTTCTGATTTCTTTTTGTTAATTATTCTCATATACGAAGAGAAGTTATTTTCTTTCTGTTCATTGTTTTATTCATTTTACATTTTTATTGCTTTGTTAATTTTTAACAGTATAAAGTGTCCAAACGCAGAGAAAAACTATATATAAGTCATGACTAGTTAAAAGAACTAAAACATGTAGTAGTAATGAATACTTTTTACATGAAGGACACCTTTTTACCTTTTTTTCTGTAAAGTTTCAGCTCCAAACACTCATTAGATAATTTTTTATACCTTTTAGAATGTTGAGATTTTTGCTTTAAACACTTAGTCTTAGTGGATTAAAAGTTTTTTTTAATTGTTTTAAAAATGTTTAGAGTAAAGGTTTTGATCAACTCCAAATACTGAATATTTGTGCGTCTGTGAGAAAGTGGAAACGAAGGAGAAATATATCAATAAGTCATGACTGCAACAGTAAGTGGCAAAAAAGGTTTAAAAAGACTTTTATTTTGTCGTGACGTGTGACGTCATCAGGCGGCGCCGCTTCAGCGCTGTGATTCAACTGGAGAAAGGTTTGTGTTTTTAAACGTTTACGGATATAACCCGGTTTAATTAAAGTTTCAGATTTTTTTTATTCCGATGCTAAATTATGTACATGCTTTTAACAATAATATTTAAACCCTTTATACAACGTAGTACTATTTTATTATCAGTAGCCGAGGGCTATTGTTTGAAACCGAAAACAGTGTAATAGGTGTTTTAAAGCAGGGTTTCTCAAACTTTTCTGATAAGAGGTAAAGTTGGTTTTATATTCACACATTAGTTCATTTAGCAGTCTATATATTGTTTACCATGTTACTTTGAATATTTGATCGGAATTAGCATGCAAGTGTGACTTGAAAACAACATTAACACTGTTTATTTGACTGAGAACAATGTTGTACTTTGATAGTCATTTGCTGCTAATATGATTTCACTGTTTAAAGTTTGCAAATGATACTTTAATAAAATTATATCATTAAGGGGAAAGTCCGAATGTGCGAATATAAAACCAATTATACCTCTATTTTTAAAGAAATGTTTTACCTGATTTCTTTTTGATAATTAAAAGAAACTGTTGAAGCAAGTGTTGAAGAGAAGTTATTTTGTTTCTCTTCATTGTTTTATTTATTTTAAACAGGACATTTTTATTGTTTTGTTCATTTTAAACAGGATAAATTGTCCAAACACAGAGAAAAACTCCTGCTGAAGCGACTGATCTCCACACTGTTATAAAGATGGCGTTTATTAAAGAGGAGAGTGAAGATGTGAAGATTGAAGAAACATTCACGGTCAAACAGGAAGATCCACAGGAACAAACAGGTTAGTTTTCATTCTCAAAGACCAACTCAGTCATTTGATCCTCATTCAGATATATTTTAATAATAAGAATACTAAATTAAATCCATCTTGCAGCCCTGAGTGTGCTGCCTAGTTCTCCTAAATGCACATAAGCACTCATTGAAAGACAGGAATCAGTTTCTTTCATTATTTGTTCTCATGTCTTTTGTCATTCATTTATGTGTTATTAGTCTCACTTTTTCTCTACCTTGTTCTTTTGCTGTTTGTGAAGCATCCTTGGTGCTTTATAAAATAAATAAAAACAATAAATTAATAAAAGGTTTAACTAAGCTGATGATATTTGACCTACAGTATTCTCATAACAGACTTAACATTTTAGGCCTTAAAAAGTCTTAAATTTACTGAAATATTGTGCTGTATTGTGTCTTTTTTTTTCTTTATTTTCCTTTGTTCATGTTTTTCTACCCAATCTGGACAAAACCAATTCAATCACCAACAATTCAACTTAATAAAACTTTCAACTTTTTATTCAAAAATGTCTTTTTAACTTTATTTATCATAATGGTTTAATTATTTTCCTCACAATAACATTTGTTTAAACGTGCTCCATGTATTTACTGCTGTGGATATTAACCTGGACAGATTGTTGTGCATATATTTAGTTTGTTATAGTTTTTAAAACTTTAAAAACATTTGTTAATTTTTTAGCTTTAAAAATAAATTTTATATTGATGGGGCAAATAAAAATATTTTCCATCTGGGCCATTTGAAAAGTTCTTTAGCCTTTAGCCCTTTATGAGTCAAAAATTTAATTCAAAATGGTCTTAAAAATGTCATAAAATGTCTTAAATTTAACTTTGTAAAACCTGCAGAAACTCTGGTTTACAGTATGTCAAAAAATGTGGATGCCCCAATATTGAGCATCCTGAATGAAATGGACACTAAAATAATTGTTATAAAATATTTTACAGTCTCAGAATATAGACCATATTCTTCATGCACCAACAGGCGGCGCCATTGGAATCTTTTTGCTTGAGACTTTTTTAAAGAATAAATTTTTAGATCCTAAATATCAGTTTAATGCTGCTGAGGCATGGGGCAATAACTATATTCAAGGTTTACCGCAGTTTGGAAAAGTCAAGGTTTTAAAATCGCCAACATTTCCTGCTGCACCGTTCCTACAGTATATGTAAGTTTTTTTTAATGTTTTGTTTTTTAGGACAACACTATCTCCTGCAGTAAAGACCAAAGAGGCTGTTTTAAATCGTAAAGAAATCTGTGATTCATTTCAATTACTTAGCCTGACATGTTTACTGCTCAAAAATATTTTAAAAGTGTCTCAGAAGAAAATATATTTTAGGATATCATACTGTCAGAATCTTATACTGGCCCATGCCTAATACTGCTTGATGTCGCAAAGTCATATTTTCTCATTTAATTATTTTTATTTGTATGTATAGTCATGAACACACCTGTTTGTAGAGCAAGTAGCGTGACTGTTTTCTGCAGTTTATTATTTCTGGTCAAAATAATACCAAAATCCACATCGTAAAAAAAATAGAAAAAGAATAATAATTATAATTAAAAAGCAAATCAAAAAGAGTACAGGCTACATTAATATTTGCAAAGGAAAAGAGTTGTTTGAGTATATTTAAAGTTGTGGTTGCTTTTTATCTTAAACATCCTTTAAGGGTTCTTTCTGACTATTTTCGTGTATGTAATTACCTAATTAAGTTAAAAGATTTAACATAAAATAGTTCTATTTTTTTATATTGTCTATTTATATAAACTAATATTTTGTATAACACATTTTCATTATTTAACAGATTTAATACTTCTATAAATCAAATTCTTTCTGTTTCATCAGCTTTAAAATAACCAGATTCCTGATACATATGTTTGTGAATTTTATTTTATTTTGTAAGTTTCCTTGAGTGCTATAGCAGCATGCAGAGTTTTTTGTGTGTGTGTGTGTGTGTGTGTGTGTGTGTGTGTGTGTGTGTGTGTTTAATTTAGTCCAAGGATCAAGTTTATGTAAAGATTGAGTTTATATGTCTGTGCATGTGTATGTGGGTGTATGCATGCAGTAGGTTTATATATGTGCAAGTGTCATACTTGTTTTGAACATAGTATATGTTTATATGCGAGAAATTTATATGTGTATATTCATGTGTAGACATGCGAAACCCTACATTGTGCCTCATAGCCATCTGTGTTTGGTGTCGGGAAGGTGGATGGTGAGTCGACTGGTTGACTTAAACTTTTATGAACCAATTTGATGTGTTTCCGATGCTAGTCGGCATCGCTCTCCCGCACAGTTTGCAGAGCGCCGAAACAAAAAGCTGATCGGAACTTAAAAAGCCAAACAACGTCCACATCAACTACTTTGTCTGCATTCTTACTTGTGGAAGCTTGTTCCTCTATATCTGTATTCAGGTCGCTCATTTTCTAGCTTTCTGTGACAGAGCAGCTTAACCAACTTCTGAGCGCTGTCATCACGCAAGTGACATCATGCTCATTCTGAGCACGGAAAGTCATTTAGTGACAATAGATACAAGGTAGAAAATCTTATATATATATAGATATATAGATAGATAGATATAGATATGATAAAACATATACACAAATGTATCGAAATATCGGAAATGGGTTTAAAAAAATATCACCATAATTTAAAAATAATCTATTGTGATATATTGATATTATATTATTGTCCAGCCCTACATTAGATATAGAGAGCAAGATGAATAAAATATCACTTTTAGCAAATATAGTGAGATTAGATCCAGCATAACTCGTAACATCTAAAAGGAAAAAAAAAAGATAAATAAACCCACTTCTCATTTACTAGTCTGTTATGAGCCATATCAAACCTCTTGAGCCTCCGATCTCCTCCTGATTTGCAGTTTCTGTTTGTTTTTTGAAAATGTAATTGTCTTCAAATCTGAAAATATAATTTATTTTATAGTGTGAGTTGTTATTCGATGTGATACGAAGCTGCAAGCATGTTCTTTTGGACAGAATTTTTAACTAAGGTGTAATGTTGTCCAGATACTGGAATTTCTGACTTCATTACTTTGCTATATATTGATGTTCAATAGGCTACTATTTTTGATATAGTAACAATTGTTTCAAAAATGGTACAAAAAATTATTTCTAAAGTAGAAAAATGATTTCTTAAGTTTTTTTTTTTTCAGTTTTCCTCAAAATAGGTTGATGTGGGCATTGTAGCACTTTAAATGCATGTAATGCCTGTTTCATTTATACTTGAGCAGAAATTCCATATATGCCTCACAAAAGTAGCAGAACATTCCAGGAAATCCCTAATATGGATGAAGGCATCCAGCTATTGCCTTTGGATGAAAATAAGATCTGAATAAATATTAAAAGGCTTCAACTGATCATTTACACGACTGCGCCCATAAATGGTTTATATGTGTACTTCCAGCCATCTTAGGTATATTTATAAGAAAGTCGATTTATAATTTAATGCTAACTGACGTAGCATGTTACAGTAGAATATAGCTATAAAATAATATGCTAGATGCATGAACTCACTGTAATTTAACTATTACAGAAACGGATGAGAGATTTGTTTTTTATTTCAAAGCATTTTCCCAGATTATGTCAAAATAAGATGTTCCCAAATATCAGTCAGTTTGCTAAAACGCAGAAAGAAACCCAGAATGGATAAAAATGACCCAACAGCACACAAGGGGAAAGGTGCACATTTCAGTCTTTATGGTGTACAGGTATATCTCATGTTTGCGAGACAAATATTCAGCTGTTTGTTCAGCTGTTACCTCATAACTTTTTTTTCTGATGCGTTTACTGGTCAGGCACAGAATGAACAAGTATTCCCTGTCTGCTTTACACATTTTAGAAAAACATTTTGTTGTAATTCTGAATATATATGAATAAAAATAGGACACTTACAGCTTTTAAATCTGTGTCTTATCAATATGACCAAAATGACTTTTATGAGAAACTTTGAAAACTGGACTGACACAGTTTCAATTTACTAGAACTTCTAAGTTAAGTGGCTTCAGCACAATTTGCATTGTAAAAGCAATAGATGAAGATGATTTGAATCTGCTTAAATGTGTACACGTTAATGGAATGAACAAAATATGATCTGATTTATTTTACATTTAATGTGCATCAAAATTACAGTGTGTGTAGCCAATGTTTCCAGTGTCTTTTCACCTTTACGCGTTTGATGAGATTTTTAAGACTTAATGAAAACTGGTGTTTTTTTATTTATTTATTCATTTCAGATCTAATTGAAGAGAATGAGGGGAGTAAAGAGGAGGAACATCATGTCAAAATTGAGGAAAAAACTCGTTTACAGACTGATGATATTTTGAAAAAAAGAGACGAAAATCGTTTCACCTGCACTCAATGTGGAAGGAGTTTGGGAAGAAAAGACAATCTTAAGATTCACATGAGGATCCACACTGGAGAGAAACCATTCACATGCACTCAGTGTGGGAAGAGTTTCAACCGATCATCATCCCTTAATCACCACATGAGGATCCACGCTCGAGAGAAACCATTCACCTGCACTCAGTGTGGGAAGAGTTTCAGACACTCATTATTTCTTAAACAACACATGAGGATCCACATTGGAGATAAACCATTCACATGCACTCAGTGTGGGAAGAGTTTCAGCCAATCATCATCCCTTAATCGCCACATGAGGATCCACACTGGAGAGAAACCTTTCACATGCACTCGGTGTGGGAAAAGTTTCAGCCATTCATCAAACTTTAACCGACACATGAGGATCCACACTGGAGAGAAACCATTCACATGCACTCAGTGTGAGAAGAGTTTCAGCCAATCATCATCCCTCAATCACCACATGAGGATCCACACTGGAGAGAAACCATTCACATGCACTCAGTGTGGGAAGAGTTTCAGCCAATCATCAAACCTTAATCTACACATGATGATCCACACTGGAGAGAAACCATTCACGTGCACTCAGTGTGGGAAGAGTTTCAGTTGCTCATCTTACCTTAATCACCACATGAGGATCCATACTGGAGAGAAACTATTCTCATGCACTCAGTGTGGGAAGAGTTTCAGTCGCTCATTATCTCTTAAAGAACACATGAGGATCCACACTGGAGAGAAACCCTTCACATGCACTCAGTGTGGGAAGAGTTTCAGCCAATCATCATCCCTTAATCACCACATGTGGACCCACACTGGAGAGAAACCATTCACATGCACTCAGTGTGGGAAGAGTTTCAGCCAATCATCAAACTTTAACCGACACATGAGGATCCACACTGGAGAGAAACCATTCACTTGCACCTAAGCCACAGTTACACTGGACCTTTCTCCTAATAGACTGCCATTCATATGCACGCAAATGCGTCAGACTGTAAACGCAAGTTTGTGCGTCAAGTTTTGCAGTTCACTGCGTTGCAGAGTTCAAGCTTGATGAACTCTGACCAGCGAAATCGCATTAAGCCTAGTTCACACTACAGGATTTTAAACATCAGCAGATCGCTGTGCCGTTCACACTACATGACTTGACTTTGTGTCTTTTAATCTCTGTGGTGTTCACACTACGCAACACTCCGTGAACGATCCACAAGAGGGGGGTCACACACTACATGATCTGACAACAACTCATTCCCCATCAGCTCATTCAAGCTACCAAACCACAGCCAATGAAATTTTGAGGGAGGAGTCATCAGAAAAAGCTGAACACTATTGGCTGCTTGTGTGCTGATTACATCACTGACAGCGTTTCAAGCTTTGGAGAAAGCATTTAAAAACATCGTCAAATCAGCTGATTTATCAGCGGATTAATCACTCATCTGCAGGTTCCAGTGGATAGATACACAGAGAGTTTTCAATTTTTGTAATTTTATAACTCTTTGAAATAAAACTAACAAATAACACCCTGCCGTTTTCTAACTATCAGTTTATTTCTTTCTGACATTGTAATTTTTTTTATTACAAAACTGTAAAGAACTGAGCATTTCTGCCTTAAATTACCATATTGGTTAAAGGGCACCTAGGTTACCCCTTTTTTCAGATTTAATATAAGTCTTTTGCGTCTCTAGAATGTGTATATAAAGTTTCAGATCAAAATACCCATCAGATTTTTCATTATACCTTTTACAAGATGCTGTTTTATACTGATTTCCAGCAGGGGGTGGTTTTGTCTTAGTTAAGGCTAACCTCAAGTACTGTGTGGATATCTGTTATGCTAATGTACAAAATAAACCTGATTTAACTTCCACAAACCGGGATTGAAGCGTCTTCTTTTATAATTGTTCTGACACGCGGCTGTGCTGTTGAAGTAAAGCTGAAGTAAAACGCTGTAATTAATTACACACATACTCTGTTTTAAAACACTTTAAACATGTGAAACTTACTCTTAATCACATTTGATGATGATTGCTGATCCTAGCGAACAGAACAGACCTTTTATTCCCGGTTGCTCTGCGTATGTCTGCCTGGACTTGTTGACATATACACGTGACTACCGGAACATGTTAATGCGCGCAGCTGTCAATCAATTCGGTGGGCGGGGGGATCGCACACCTACGTAATGGTGCGATCGATTTGAAAACCGCTCCAATTGGCCGACCCTTTTTTTGTAGTTAAATTGAAAAAAAAAGACTGGGTGTGTTCATATCACCTCAGTATGACGGTCTATACACTATACCAACACACAGATCTGTCCAAACTAGGGATGGGAAGATTAACCGATATGTATCGATACGCGGTCATGCGCGTGCACGATGCGAGTGCATCGGTTGAGCAGCAGAGGATGAATGAAATTTTGGAAGCAAATCGAGATGCATCGGTTTTTCTGAGATACAGCTTATAATTTTAATATAGAATGTATTTTTTTTTTATTAACAAGTGTTGTCAACCTGTTTTTGGCGCATAATTTAATCGACCTACATAAAGTAAGCCTTAGCAACGGATTTGCGGATGTGTACACTTACACTACATCTCAGTGTATCAGGTGTGCGGATGAAGCTAGTGGTGCGCCCTCAGAAAGCGCGAAAAGCAAAACAAACATTTTATTCCCCACTGAGTTTTAAATCTAAAGTATGGCAACATTATGGATTTAAGGATGGACGACATGACAGGACAGATGCAATTTGCAAAATGTGCCGCGCATCTATAAAATACGCGGGCAGTACGAGTAATCTGAAATCTCACTTGAAGCAGCGCCACGGTGTTGTTGTGAAAGCATTTTCCAGTGTTTCTGCATCCCCGGCTTTCGCACTGCTTCAACTGTAGCTACCAGCTCCAAAAGTGGTGAGAAAAGCATTGCAAGTTTTTTTTTCCAATAACGGATGTTATTGCATTGTTCATCTGCAGGGCCGGAGCAAGCTGAACTGCCGCTCTAGGCAGAGGACGATCACGCCGCCCTCAACCCCAATGTGAAAACGAAAGTGACTGGTTATAAAAAATGAAGTGACGTGTCGCGGACCTCTATTCTGCCGCCCTATGCGCGGATATAACTGAGGACGCGCGGGTGTCGCGGACCTATATTCTGCCGCCCTATGTGCGGATATAACTGAGGACGCGCGGGTGTTGCGGACCTCTTCTGCCGCCCTATGCGCGGATATAACTGAGGACGCGCGGGTGTCGCAGACCTCTATTCTGCCGCCCTATGCGCGGATATAACTGAGGACGCGCGGGTGTCGTGGACCTCTATTCTGCCACCCTATGCGCGGATATAACTGGGTGTTGCGGACGCCGCCAACTCTATACTGCCGCCCTAGGCGGTTTTAAACACCTCCTCCTGTTAATTTTTATTTCATTATAATAATAATAATGATAAAAATAATGGGTGTCACGGTGGCACAGTGGGTAGTTTGACCACCTCACAGCAAGAAGATTGCTGGTTTGTTATATTTCTATTAGCCTGTTGTTTACAGTGACAGTGATGTTTCAAAGCAGCATAACACTGCTAGTTCACCACCTTAAGTTTTGAATATTCAGTGGCAAAATATATCTTTGTAAAACCTGTTTTCATAGTTGAAAAGTTAAATCACAATTCTTGTTGTGCAATGCTAAACCTTTATGTTGAAAGAGTGCAAATATATATATATATATATATATATATATATATATATATATATATATATATATATATATATATATATATATATTAATATATATTGCACTTATACATTCTGTTTATCTTGAAAATACTTAAATAATATGTGCTATAGGTTCTAAAATGGCCCTCTACTGTAAACTGACACTCTGGCTCTGAGAGAAAAGCCAGTTTGTAAAAAAAAGTCTTGGTTTTGCTTGGTTAATAAATAATAACTCATTCAATGGCACAGCATCCTCTTTCACATAATCTCATAAACTTGATCTAATTAGTTAGTGCTGAATTATCGCATTGTATCGTGATATGGGTGTGAATCGTATCGTGTTGCATCGCAATATGTCACAAATGTATCGCTAATATATCGGATCCTATTCTTTGTATCGAGATGCGTATCGGATCGGCATTATAGCTTAGATGCCCAACCCTAGTCCAAACAGCTTGAAAAGTAGATTTTTTACCATAGGTGCCCTTTAAAGAGCCTGTGTGGTGACCGCAAATATTCAGCTCGGACGAGACGCCGTTTAAAGTTTTTTTTTTTACATATAGAATATCATTGCTTTACATTATTGTAATGTTTTTTATATTTGTAGTTTGTATATATAACAAATGCTTAGCTTATTGTTCACAGTGATCGTTATAATAGAATAATGTGCATTGCATAGGATTATTCAGTATTTACATTCTTTAGTCGCAGCACTGTTTTTATTTATAGCATTTAGTCATTAAACAATGATATTTTGAAAAAAATTCTTGTAATTTTAAAAACTTAAAACTTGCAATTCTAGCCCGTGGTTGTAATATTTCAAGCTTGTTCTCAGACAAGTCTCTGGGTCACTAATACTTTGTATTTCTGGAAAATCCGGGATGGAATTCTAGTAAAAAGTGGTACTGTAGAGGAACGGCTTCCCGGCAGTTTTACACCACCTAAAAAACTAATTTATTTTTGTTTAATTTATTTATTGACCCTGCTAATCCAGCGAGAATATTTTTTTCTATGGTTGCATCTGCATTTTAGTTTCTGTGATATATTCTATACAATATAGAAAGGCATATTGTATCTTTCTCAATTAATTCAATAAAGTTGTTCTTTAAACAGCTTAAGCATTGAGATTTAAACCTGTATTTTGACCCTAATAGTAAATTGTTATTATGCACATCTGAAATAAAATACATTTTTACTCCAATGAAAAATATGTGTTGAAATAGAACACAAATAGACAAATGTATTTAATATTCTACAGTTTTATTTTTTTGAGTAATTGGTTTTCACTATTTTAGCCTATGATTTAAATGTTCTCTCTGTGTTTAAGTGTACTGTGTGTATAGAAGAGTTGAATGAATTTATGCTCTTGATGAATGTGTACAGCTGTATATTTGTATAAATAAAAAATGATGACATATTGTGGTGTGTTCTGTCATATGTACAGATTAAATAATATGTATCCTTTAAAAAACTGTAATTAATAATATATATTAGTAATATGTGTTGGTTTAATGTTGAAAAGGTTGTGTAAGCATTCATTTCAACGTTAAATCATTTGGATAAATTATATGTTGAAAATCTGTGGATTCTATGATGTTCCAGTCGACCTAAAATCAACATCATTTCAACATTAGACAAACCAATTAGGTTGATTATATGTTGGAAATGTGTGGATTGTATAATGTTGTTTCGATCGACTGAAAATCAACATCGATTCAACGTTGGTAAGTAACCAATTGTGACGATTTCAGGTTAGATTTGAATGGAGTGCCTGATGTCGTTTCAACATTACACCGATGAGCAAAACGATGTTGAATCAACATCGGTGATCAACGTGGATTTGATATCAAAAGAAACGTTGATTTTTAGGTTTTGTGAAAAAATACATGTTGTACTCGGCCTAAAATGTACATTCTTAAATGTTATTAAGGGCAGAAATTCACACATAGATTAAGGTACATCTGAACAGTGATTTACAATAATAAAATCCAAATGTCAAAAAATGGGGTTTATGGCGTTTTGCAACCAAACTCTTCATATGCATACAGTTGAAGTCAGAATTATTAGCCCCCCTGAATTATTAGCCCCTCTGTTTATTATTTCTGAAAATATTTTTTTCAACACGTTTATGAAATAATATTTTACTAGATGTTATTCAAGACACTTCTACACAGCTTACAGTGACATGTGAAGGCTTAACTAGGTTAATAAAGTTAATTAGTGAGGTAAGAGTAATTTATTAAGGCTCATAATTCTGACTACAACTAACTTTAAGTTACTTTTGTATTTGCATTTTAATTTATTTTCAAAATAGGACTTTATTTGTATATATAGTCATTTTATTTATGTAATATTCTTGCTGTGTTTACATAAGAATCCTCTGCCTTTTATACTTTAGTTTAAATTGTATTTTATATATAATTGTTTTATTTCTGTCATATGCTTGCTGTGTGTGTTTAGATGTATATTTTGTAATAAACTACAATATATTTAAACAGTAAGGCCTTTATCTTTATTGATTTCTTGCATCATTTCAGAGAAAACTAGTACAAACTGTGAATTCCAATTACTTTTTTTTGTAAAATAGATTATAATAATTTGGTATTTTTTCTCAAGCAATGCAAAGTGCATTATTTATTGCATACTACATGCATCCATTTAAAAACCTGTTTAGTGATGGGAAGTTCGGATCATTTTACTGACTCGGATCTTTGAGTCTCGTTCATCGAGATGAACGAATATTTTTTCAAGTCATTTCGTTCATTTGGTTCAATTTG